TTTATTAATTATCAATTAGTTGATAATTGTTATTGTAAAAAGTGCTTCTCGACTATATTCCCGAGGCCTACGAGTCCACTATTTCGAGTAAGCAGTTACGGACATCAGGGTGAGTAGAATTCCTTTTTTTTTATTTTTCTTTCATTTTCTCTAATTAATTAATTAATTCTTTTTTTTTATTTAATTTCTTTCTTTACTATTCGATTGAAACTTAATTTTTTTCATTTAAGTTCTTTCTTTCTATTATCCCTGAAAGAAATTCCCGAAGACCTTACTTAGTGTGAGTGCACAGTGATAATTAATTATTAAAAATTTTATTATCTGTTTCGCGAGAGAAAGGTTTCTTTGTTATACCGACAAAGGAATTTTCTTTGTCATATCGAATAAGAATTGCCGAAAAAAAAAAAAAATAAATAAATACCGAAAGACAAAGAGAGTTCTGAAAACGGACCTCTTTGTCTCACTCACACAAAATAGTTGCGTGAGTACTAGGCCTTTGTGTCTAGTTGCGAGCCACCGGTTGTGAGCGAGCGAGCGACAACCACAAGCGAGCGCCGAGCGCCAAGCAAGCAAGCGAGCGACAGCCGCTGCAGTCTACCGAACAGTCTCGCTACCGTGTACACTACAGTGTACGGGCTTGACCGATTCTCGGGATTCCCGAACACCAAATAAATACGTTAGTGTAGAATATATCGTCAAGACTATTGTCTTTATTTTACTGATTTTCTTTGAAGTTATTTTTCGGAATTTTTTTTCTCTCTCTCGCACACACTCTGAGGAGTGTTATTATTTATCGTAAGCAAACTCAAGTAGTTTGTTTAGTAGATTTCGAAATTCTTATTCGAGTCTGCTGGAATTTTATTTAATAATTTTTTTTTTGTTTTGTTATTATTTTAATTTCACTTTTTTTTTGTGAAACCGAGTATCGCGATGGCTAATCCAGCTGACATACCGAATATTGAAATCCACGGAGCCAGTGGAACCTCTCGTTCGGGTGATCAGGGTAGGGACCCGTCTCTCGGTGGAAGCCAAGAAAGCATCCACTCGAATGAGTCCCCGCGGGATGTCGAAGTGGTTGAGGAACTACCGGGGAATCAACTCCCAGCAAATCAATTACCGGGGAATCAACTCCCAGCAAATCAATTACCGGGGAATCGACTCCCAGCAAATCAATTACCGGGGAATCGACTCCCAGCAAATCAATTACCGGGGAATTGACTCCCAGCAAATCAATTACCGGGGAATCAACCCCCGGCGGCCGATCGGAGGCCGCGCCAGGAACTACCTCGCCATCAGAGGGATCAACGACCTCCTCGGCGAGAACAAGAACCACCTCCCCGAGATGTATATGACTTTCCGCGACAAGGGAGACCAGGACAACGCCGTCCAGTCTACCCTAATCGACGTGATTACCAACTAGATACCGATGACGATACCGATGAATATCAGGAACGTCCATTACCGGCCACGACTGTTCTTTCAGCCATGAAACGTTGGAATTTGTCATTCGGAGGGGCAAAATCAGAGGACGTGGAGAATTTTATTACTCGTATCGAAGAGGGCCGACAACTATTACCGATTCGGGATGAGGATCTTCTCCGAGCTTTACCGTTTGCATTGAGTGATGCCGCCCTCATCTGGTACCGATCTCATTAGATATATTTTACGTCTTGGGCAGCGGCCCGAAGAGCTTTCCGTGGTCGTTTTGCCGACCCTGACTACCAGATGGCCCTTCGGGCAGAAATCTCAAATCGTACCCAGGACGAAAATGAACCTGTGGGTGATTATATCGCGTGTATGTGGGGACTCTTCTCTCGTACCAATCCTCCTTGGAGTGAATGGGAACGAGTGACCTACGTACACAGGAATTTACTTCCAGCATACCGTCTCGTCATTCCTTTGACGGACGATCTAACGATAGATGTCCTCGAAGTAATGGCAGGGCGACAAGAGCAAATTATGCGTAGTGTTACGCATCACAAGTCTCCACCCCTGCCCGAGGACTCAATGTGTCTAAGTTTCGCGTACACGGGGCCACGACGGGCCAAACCCAGACGTCTGGCGTTACACCAGGTCCAAATGGACGAGGCTGACGATGAGGAACCTCCATTCGACATATTGGACGCCATAATTCCCGGACGTCGTTTCCAATCGCGGAGGACTGACGCACATCCGCGAGTTCCCGTGAGTGCTCCAGCTGCGGCTGTGAAGCCAGTACCGACAGCCGACTCTGCGGCCGCCCTTCCCGAACCGCTTCAGGGTTTAACTAGCCCCGCACCAGCTCCACGACCTGTCGTCACACCCCGAGCTGGATATGGAGCCGCCTCAGGGCCACCGATGCTCTGTTGGAACTGTGATGGTACAGGCCATCAACATCGCATGTGTACCGCCCCGAGGAAGATTTTCTGTTATCGTTGTGGTACCCCAGGGGTCACCCGAGTACAATGTCCACGTTGTAACCCGGAAAACTTCCGTCAGTGAACGTTGATCCGGCTACAGCGTTCACGCCTACCGCATTGCCGAGGAGAAAGATCCCGACTCAGCTACTCACCTCTGTGTCGGTAGCTGAGACTATTAAAGGCCTCATGAGTTTGGACTCTGAGCCAACTGCCTTTTATATCGACATCGAGGTTATTGGTGTAAAAGTCCGAGCTCTCGTTGATTCTGGAGCCAGTAAGACCTTCATAGGCCCAGAATATATCTCTTTATTCTCGCAGCTTGGAGTTCCCGCGCTTCAAACAGCCTCCCGACGAGTTATCGTAGCTAACGGACTTGAAGTCAAAGTCAACACAGCCACCGATACCTGGATAGGAATCGGAGGTAAGCAAGTACGGCAGCGCTTCTATTGGATGCCATCTTTGTCTCAATCTTGCGTCCTTGGTCTCGATTTTCTGCGTGCCGCGAAAATAATTATCGACTTTGCAGCTAGCAAATGGTGGTTTCAAAGTGATCCCGCGAAGGTACAATCCTTCATTCCTGAGGCTCCATCAAGCCAATTGGTGATGTGTCACGGTCTTCAGACTATGACTGAGTCGGAATCTGACCGATTGGAACGATTTTTAGACTCGCATCTGCCGGAAAGTTCCGATAAACCAGGTCTTACAACCCTGGCGGAACATCAAATTGATGTCGGTGGGTGTGACCCGATTAAACAACGACATTATCAGGTATCTCCCGCCATTCTCGAGATCATGTGGAAAGAGGTGGATGCCATGCTCGAGAATGATGTTATCGAACCATCTACCAGCAACTGGTGAAGCCCAGTGGTAATGGTCAAAAAGCCTAATGGCAAATATCGCTTCTGTATCGACTTTCGGAAGGTAAATGCTAAAACTAAGCGTGATGCCTATCCAATCCCGAATATGACCGCCATTCTCAATCAATTACGGCGAGCCAACTATCTTACGACCTTGAATTTGAGCCAAGCGTACTTCCAAGTACCACTTTCTCCGGAAAGTCGGGAAATTACCGCTTTTACCGTCCCAGGGCGAGGCCTGTTTCAGTTCAAACGTATGCCGTTTGGACTCACAAATGCTCCAGCGACGTTTCAACGTCTACTGGATAGCCTGATTGGACCAGACCTCTATCCCCATGTCTTCGTCTACCTAGATGACATCATTATCGTGACAGAGACTTTTGATGAACATCTCTACTGGTTAGAGAAGGTGCTTGAGCGGATTAAGGCCGCTGGTCTCACCATTAACCTAGAAAAAATATATAAGAGAGATGGCTAAGATGGACGAAGTGTAACGTAGTGAAATATAGAGTACCGCAAAAATCTACCGTGTAAGAAAAATCTACGTTACAAATTATTGGGTTTGTGTCCTTCGCAAACTAAACTTTCTGAGCGATAACTTTGAAAAATTGTTGTATGTCATTCAGCCACTCAGTGACAATTCCGAAAATGTCGGTTTCACGATATTCGCTTTAGTGTTTGTGACATGAATTTGGGAAAACTAGAGTAAAATACTATCCTTAGCTTCACGTCGGAGATCCAATTTACACCCATTTAGGTAAATTCGCGCCAAAAGCCTAAGGCTTATGTCGCAACATCGGCGTTGTCGGGAAGATTGCCCTTTTGCGGCCTTATGTCGTAAATCACTATTTTATTGGTCAAATTAAAAAACTAAGTACTAAAAACAACCAGTATTCGTAGCCGAGCAGTTAACGTACTTGACTCCGAACTATGAGTACTGGCCAGGCATGGGTTTGAGTCCCACCATGGTCAAATCATTTTCGCTGTGCGCCAGGTTAATTTTCGATTATCTTCGACTGTGAGGACTCGGCTCATTGCCGAACAAACATTGGCTGTATATGATATCATCATAGAGGCCAGCTGGACTACACCAGCAAGGAATAAAAAAAAAGTACTAAAACCGTAGTAGATCATTGAGATAGAGAATATCAAAATATTAATTTTTTTTCTTCAATTAATCTAAAAATTTTGAAAATTTCATTGTTGTCCTGATGCTGTGGGAATGCACTTTAGATAAATCGTGGATGCACTGTGAAAACACCGTAAATACACTGATGCAATCACACTGTTAATTCACAGTTTACCAATGGGACAACTACACAATGTATCGACGGTGTATTTCCGGCATGTATATCGTGTATCTACTGTGAATACACCGTGGGTGCAAGAATGCGAGGATAAGATTTAGTTTTAAGATGATACCCTTATATTTTTAAACACTTTTGAACATCTTCAACCCTTTTCTGGTCAACCTTGAATCCCTACTCATAATTTGAATCATACGTCTTCTTGAAGTAAGAGAGCTATAGTCTGTTTTCTAAAGAGAGGGCCGGAAAAATAGTAAAAGGAGGCGCTTGCCTACACTACCACAACTAAACTTTCACTTATAAAGCCTTACAACGAACTGTAATTGCCTCCATTCCCAAACGTCTCACACCTAAACTCACCTATACTCCGAGCCGGGAAAGGGTTACAAGAGTAATTTAATATTATTACTTTTTCAGTTTAACCATTAGAAGTCAGTCTAAGTATACTTTGTTTTCAATATTAATTTCAATTTTTGGAAACTAAATAAAATTAAATATTAATAAATAAAGAGAAAAAATGAGTAACTAACTTTGATGTGGCCGTTGCATTTTGATATTGGTTCATCATGACATTAGCTGCGTCGAGAAGAAGTTGAATTCTTTGAAGTGTTTGTATTCTAGCTTCGACTGCTTGTCTTAAATTTCCTTCCATCTCATGAAGTTCTTCTTCATTCAGAGTATTTAAATGAAGTGGTGGAATCGGTACGATTGGTAATGGAATGATCGATGGGAATGGTGGTGTGTAGAATGGCACACTTGATGTAACGATGGAAGTACCGTCAGCATTTGTCATTCTACTACCGGCAGTAGATCCGTTGTTCTCATTATTTGGTCCTTGGAAATAGAAAAAAAAATTAGAAAAACGGTTGACCTTGAAGGCCATCCCTAAAACTTCCCGCTAATTCCATACCTAGGCGCTTAAAATTGCACTTATATACAATTTATGTGTTATTTAGAGCTCTCCGAGCTCAAAGAGATAGCTTTGCTATGCTTTTGAGCTTTTCGAGCTCAAAAGTCTTATCAAAATTCGATGAAACACATTTTTTTAATTTTCAAACTGCTGTAACTTTTGAATAAATCAACCGATGTTTACGCAGTTGGCGGCGATCGATGTAGTTTTTTGAGCTCTATAAAACATTCGAAACGAAAAAAATTGATCTGATGAAAAATTTCGGAGTTATTACAAAAAAACACTTTTTTCGATTTTTTTTGACAACGAAATCTCACGAACGCATCAACCGATTCTGACATTCTAGGTTGCACTCTATGCGGGTTTTCAAGGTTAAGAGCTTCTTAGTTTTTGAGGTCGATCGGTTCAGCCAATTCGGAGATATTTAAAAAAAAATAAAAATAAAAACAACTTTTTTTGCAATTTCTCGAAATCTACTGGTCCGAATCGGTTCCAACTTACAGGAAATCTAAGTTTGGCGAAGCCCTTTCGAATGACACCAACCGCGATGAAATCGGTCAAGCCGTTCAAAAGTTACGAGAGGTTTACACACATACACACACACACACACACACACACACACACACACACACACACACACGCACACACATGTGTGCCCGGTAGCTTAACTGGTAGAGCTCCTGACATGTTATCAGAGATCCAGGTTCGATTCCTGGCTTGGCAACCAACCCCATTTATTTTTTCGAAGTCTGTCTTTGCTCTCATTCAATTTTCTTTCACTATCTTTCACTCAATTAACATCTTCATAACTCGAACAGATACAACAAAACTTCCAGCTTCACTAGAATTTAAGTTTGATGGATTCCCATTGAACTAACGGGAAGAGGGAATAAAACTCTCGAATAGAAGGGATGATGGAATGTCCATCTATTGGCTTGAATTAGATTCACTAGTCATTTGTGACCTTAGGCTGATCAAACTCTAATTAAAAAATTTTATTTTTTTTTTTAATCACCCTAATGAGGGTATTGGGTTTTGAGAGATTGCTTTTTTTTCCTTCATTTAAATATTTATCTACTTACTGAAAAAAAAATCCCTTCAAGTTTAATCCCGCAATTTAAGCTACTTTTTTAATCAGTTAAAGTTTTGACATTCAAAATCCATAGAAAAATTAGAATTGTTAAGTTAGTTAAATATCTTTCACCATCCTGTCTTATTAGAAGTAAAATACTTAGTGCATACACTTACAGTGTATACTCAGTATACTACAGTTAATTAGTTATCTTGCAATACATGTATATATTTATAAAATACCTTCACTATTCATCGTTGATGGTTGATTAGATTGAGATGTCGAAACATCTCCCGGTACTTGATTCGGTTGACGACTATCTACGCTACTGACAGCAGATCTTAAAATATTCAAACGACAAGTTGGACACGTCTGTTGCCGTTGAAACCATGATCGTAAACAAACTGTATGAAATATGTGATTGCACGGAAGTTTCTTGCTGGCTGCAATCATTTCTTCTCTAAAATAATTACACAAATTAAAAATAAGTAATAATCAATAACTGACTGACTATTTATTTTTTTTTTCAATAAAAACGATCGTATACCTGCAGATTATACAAACATTGTCGGCAGCGGCTAGCTCCTCGGAAGTAGCGTCAGGGTAAAACATATTCATGTTTCTTATTGCTCGTCTAGACATTACAATGTCTTGGAAAGCTTTTTTGAAATTTCGCATTGTAAAATACATAGGTCTTAACGCAAACAACGGCAAAGTATACAACTTTACCATCACAGTTACAAAGGCAACATATAATATGACCTTTCAAAAATATGAAACAGAGAAAAAAAATAAGATTAATGAATTGTAATTCTTTTTTGATAAGCGATAAGAATCATATTAAAATGACTGAGAAAAAAAAATTTTCCATAATTACAGGTAATGTTACATACTGACATTCAATTTCCTATAATGATTATCGCCTGATTTTATATGATTATATATAATTACTATCTGACCCGGCAAACGTTGTTTTGCCATCTGAATTATTCTAGAGTAAGAAAATATATCTTATTTATTGTAAGTGTGTGCGTATATGGTATGAGTGGAAGATCTCTATAAAACGTAACATACTCATTCTTAGGACGATTTCTGAAATTAAGTTCTAAGATGAGCCAAATCTGTCGGTTTTTTTTTGTTTTTTAAATTAAAAAATTTTTTTCCTCTAAAATTGTAGGAAATGACGTTAAAATATATTTTAGAAAGCTAAAAGAGCTTTTTGGAAAAAAAAATTTTTTTTACGAAATTTTGGGGGTACCCCATTTTGCCACCCCCCCCCTCCCCTATATAAAAACGTTTATAACAAAAATCAAACATTCAAACAAAACATCAAATGTATATTATTTAAAATTATTAAATTATTTTTCACAATAATGACAGATATTCTTGCTGTCCTCGCTGCTGCAGTTGAAAATGCTGCTGCTGTCGCTTCTGAAGTTAATCATAACGTAAACAGCGTGAAACTAATTGAAAGCATTGAAGTTCGACAGCTGCTTCTGGAAACGCAGCAATTGTCGGAGCAGCTTGTTGTTTCGGGAGTTCCTGAGATGCCTACGGAGGACTTGGGAGACATTGTGAAGAATCTTAGTAATTCTCTGGGACTTTAAAATATTGATGTCAGCTGTGTATCTTCAGTAGAGCGCCTTGGCAAAAGAAGAATAGCTGTTGCTGGTGGTGATTCCTCGCAATCTCGGGACATTGTTGTTAAATGTCAATCTTCGCTTGTTGTTCGAAAATTTTTTGATGCGAAGAAAGTGCTTCGGAACATTACAGCTGATATGTTAGTCCAAGGTGCGCGTAAACTACCGGTCTATATTAACAGACGATTTCCATCTGCATTGTACAAGTTGCGTCAAAATATTGTGAGGCAATTTCCGACGATCAGCAAGAAAAATGTTTGGATTGCGGCAGGTGCGGTTTGTGTTAGGCTTCAAGATAGCTCTCAGCCACTGAAAGTATTACCGTCGATGGATTTGACGAAAATTCCTGGCTTAAGCTAATAACGTGGTGTCGTTATCTCTCAGCAGTGTGATACTGATACTATTTGCAGTTCATCAGATCAGTTAATGTAAAAATTTACCGTCTAAATGCGCAGGCACTAGTTCCACGTATTGATGAGTTTTGTAATCATTTCCGATTTTTGGACTATGACATTATTGCTGTTTCTGAATCAAGTGTTGTTGATGCTCAAGTCAACCTTCCTGAGTTCTACTTATATTTTTACAAAATATTGTTATTATGAGTGTCTTGAATATAAATATGTTAACTAATACTAACTTGTCTGCACATTTGAATGACTTTTGTAACTTATATAATCTATGCAATGTTCCATTTAGTGCTACACATCATACTGCAAGATAAATAATTGTAATCACTATAATACTCAAATTACGAAATGTTCAAATTAATATTCTTTCTTTTCTTTTGTTTTATGAACTAAAGTCATTAGATAGTAATTTGGATAGACTTTGTTTAGAGACAACGTTACTTTTCTTATTTCTCAGTATTACTGTCTTATTATTTTATATCCATTACTGTTTAACTAATTTTATTATTACTATGTATATATTTCTATGTAAGGCCCTTAGGGAGCTAAGGCTTCAGGGTCTAAAAATTTGGTAAATAAATAATTAAATAATAAATATTCATCGGAATAATTTTCATCAATCATTATTTTGAAAAATTAGATCATCCTAATAGAGCAAAAAAATTTTTAATCAAGTGAAATTTCTTTTATAAGAATAATTTGTTAGTTCAACGATTTTTGTACTTGATTTAAGATCGTCAAATTCTTAAAAATTATGTTGTTGGTACAGGATTAATGCTCTTCAATCAATATAATATCGTATGTTTGGCAAAATCCTCAAATCAAGCAAAACGAATAAAAACAATGAAATTAATTGAATTTTTTAGGGAGCCCCTTTCGCCTCATATTTTAAGAATTTGGTTTTTTAATTAACGTATCGTGATAATAACAAATACGCGGCAAGAAACTGAAAATAAGTAAAAGCGATTCTAAAAAACTTAAATAATAGTTCTGTTGGGGACCCATCCTGCTTCACATTTTAAGATTTTTAGTTTGCCATGGACGCAGCATATTACTGCCAAATCCGTGGCGAGAGAATAAATAGAAGTAAAAGAAGTGAAAAAAACTAAGCGTATGAGCACTTCTTCTCTAAGGGGCCCATCTTGTCCCCACTCCTCTATAATATATAGAAGATATTTTTCGAACAAAATCAAAATCCATGAAGTAATAAAATTAAGAAAAAACATTTTCATCCTTTCAAACATTTTTTTCAGCAAAAGAAATAATTTATTTTATCATTTTTTAGAGGGTGTGGGGGGGGGAGTATTTGTGTCCCAGAAAAAAAAATTAGAAAAACGGTAGACCCTGAAGGCCATCCGTGCAATTTCCTGCTAATTCCATACCTAGGTGCTTAAAACTGCGCAATTTATGTGTTATTTTAAACTCTTCGAGCTTAAAAAGATAGCTTTTCTATGCTTTTGAGCTCGAAGAGCTCAAAAGTCTGACAGAAGTTCCATATTAGAACAATATTTTTTTAATTTTCAAACCGAACTAACTTTTGAATGAATCAACCGATTTTCACGCGGTTGGCAGCATTTAACGCAATTTTTTCAGTTTCATGAAGAATCTCCAAGTTTGATTTGATAAAACTAGGAAATTTGGAGTAATTCCAAAAAAACACTTTTTTCGGTTTTCTTTCATTCATGATAGGGTAAATGTTCCAGTAGTTGACCGGGCACCAGTAATTGACCGCTTTGATAAAAAAGTCCGAAAATTATTTTTAACTGCATTTTTTATGACCCTGAAATTTATTTTTAACTATTGTTAAACTTATAATCATTACAATGAATAAGTATTCCAGATTTTATTTAATTATTAGAACATCGAAAATAATTCATGAAAATTTTTCACCGCATCATCTGACTAAAATCGGTCAAATACTATAGTAGAGTATCCGAGAGGCGACTACATGTTTTAATTAACAAAAAAGTTTCCATTAGGTTAATCTTGCCAAATTAAATTCTGAAGTAGTCTTTAATAGTTTCTTAACAAATCTCTCAATAAGATTTGACAAAAACAATCAAATAAATACCAATTTAACGACCGGTCAGATACTGGTACAATAAAACACCGTTGTACCATCAATAAATGACTTCGGTCATCTATTAGAACCTGCTATTTTTCGAAACACCAGTAGTTGACCGCATGCACAATTGTAAGTTTCTAACCTATATAAAAAAAAATATAAATATGTCTACGTGATAATATTATGCTTTCATAAGTGTTATTATTTAAAATTATTTATAATTATTAAATTATTAGTAATTAATAATTAATAATTATACATAATAATTAATTAATAATTATACATATATAATTATTATTATACGTAATAATTATACGTAATAATTTATTAGTAATAAAGAAGTATTTATGCTTATTGTTTAATGTGTTTCGAATAAGATGAATGTTGAGTCAAGTTTAAATTTGTACACTGATAGAAGAATTTATTAGCTATTAATAATTTAATTTATTTAGGAGAAAAGAGTACATTTATTAATAGTTAATAAATATTTCTTTATATTTAACCAATATTTATAAACAGGTAATAAATATTTTGTTGAGTGAATTTAGGTTTCGCTTGCAATGTCATACTTATATTATGAAGATTGCTTATAAGCAAAAATCATCTTTACAAATTATTGACATTAATTACATTATTTTATAATAACGTTTACTTTAACGTAACAAATTTTATCACAGCTCAATTATCTATTATATTTTTAAATATTAAGAACGTTAATTTATTTAGTGAATTGAATTATTATCATGTATTAGCTGTAGGGTTATAAAAAGTGTCAAAAGAAAATTGCTATTTTTGCTTTTTATTTTAAATAAATATTTGTTAAAAGTTAATAAATATTCATTAACAGTTAATAAATCGTATTTTATGAATAATTTATAAACTGTCAATAATTTATAAACTGTTAATAATTGCATACGTGTGCCTCAAAAAAATATTTTGCTTTTGTCATTATTGAATCGAAGTTTAATTTACTAATCTGTTGCTTTTTTATTATTATTAGTTTTGTTCTAAACTAAACGAATTTTGTTTACTACCAATACAAATCTAATTTAAATAAATAAGCATAAAAACATTGTACACTAAACATAAAAAACTAATTAAAATTTACATAATAACCAATGTTTGAGAATCGGTCAACTACTGGAACACTCCTCGGTCAATTACTGGATCAAGCCGATCAACTACTGGTGTTTTTATCTTACCTGCATTTAAATGTGAATTTATATATAATTTCATGAATAATTCGATTAAATAACATCACATATCAAAAACTTGAATATTTAAGGTTTAAATAAACTTAAAATTTTCATTTTTTAGCGTATAATAATTAAATTACGATCAATTGAAATGCCAAAAATCCTTAATCGGTCAACTACTGGTACATTTACCCTATCTCTTGAACGAGTTATTTGGTGAGACTTTCGTCTGCCTCCTTTCGAACAGGCCGTTTCCTGGGCTTTAAAAGCTATACACGCACGTAAAATAAAACCCAAATCTCACCAAACAAAAGCACCGTCAACTCGCCGAGCAAGGAAAAACCCTGCCCTCCAGCTTTTACGCTATCACTGGACAGATGTGAATTGAGTTGAATTTAATGTCAATCTGTCCTCGTAATCAGTC